GAAGACCGGTTTGGCTGGAAGAAATTCCAGACAAAAATGAAGCCATAATGATGGGCCTTTACATTGCTCCCAGCGATAACTATGGCATGATATGAGATGGATATCTTATAAGCAAACAAAAATATTAGTTATTTATTTCAGGAATAAAGACCAATTGGATATTTGATAAAAGTAGCGTCCGGTACTTTCTTTTATGATACCATTCTTTGCAAGTATCTGGAGTAAATAAAATTCTGGTACAAATTAAAAGATATAAATAAAGTTATTTTAAGAACTGTCAATAAAGAAAATGATTGACATTATTGACATAACAGGGTGTACATAGAAAAAAGATCAGTAAAGGCAGCCAAACATATCTGATCGGTATATTCACAATAAATAGGAATAAATCATATAAAAATAACATAGAATTAAGGAATAAACTGTTCAGATGTGTGGTAAAAGCATTGAGGAAGGTGGGACATATGAATAAGGAAAAAAAGACTTGCCTTATACGTAAACTGGTGAAGAATAATAGATAAAAAGACATGAAATATTAAATCGAAAATACAGTTGCGAATCCTGTTGTAAGAAATAATGTGAATTTATTGAATTAGCCGGTCTGACAAGGTGCCGCAACAGCAACGCCTCTGCCAAGCCAGTATTATGCTATCAACGACATGCTCAAGATTGGACTCAGAGAAATATGCTTCGTCAGTTGCCATAGAAGAGGATAAAGGAACACTCAAAGTAGAAAGGTCTAGTTGGACAGCATGATCACTGTCAACCAGATTATAAACTGTAGTTTGCCAGGCTCGTGAAATTCGACCAAAATCATCATCGGAGAAAGCCACTTGAGCTTTCAACGAAGGAGCGATAGGAGAGGGCTCGGTGACGACTACATAGAATGGGGAGCAGGCCAGACATCCAGGAAGTTCATCTAAGGAGGTAGTTGGGCACTTGATAAGTTGAGATTCAGCCAAGGGATTGGTCTCCTAGCAAGTGAAACAGTAAAGTAAACCATAAAATGCTGTAAATTTAAATAGGAAATCTAATAAGGTTTATTGTGGAATTAAATTAGAATGGGGACTATGAATGAATTTTATTTAGGGGACGTACTAATAGGTCGAATAGAAAACAATGACATGAATCACCTGCTCCTTAAATTTGTCCTCAAAAATTAATGCCCTAATCACTTCGAGTGTACAAAACCTTCGACATCCACAGATGAACGATGCGAGAGGAATGTCAAAATAAAATTTGCAAAGCCGAATGAAAGAGAAAAATGACACACTGAATGAAAACCTGAAGATTCACGAATACAAAATAATCAAGAAACGTAGCGACCATCAGGCGACTAGCTAGAGAGTTAATCAAGTACGGAAAGGATGCGAAAGATGAATAACTGACTAGACATACTAGACGGAAGTGGATGGATTACAAAACTCAATAATAGGATCAAAGTAAATAAGATGATAATGGTGATTATGTGGATCACCAAAATTATTATTAAGAACCTTATAAGGAAATGTCAAATTGGTATTATTGATGTAGAATCTTGATTGTTAATTGTGCCTCGATGGGACAATGGACAAGCCTAATTAGATATAGTAATTAATAAACTTAAATTAGTGAGATACGAATTGCAAATTGACTAACAAAGTCCAACCAAAATATGACTATTTCGGGATAGTGTACAGATAGTACCAAAGAAAATTCGTTTTACCATGTATGTTTATCAGGTAAAAACTCATGCATGATGGCGAATAAGAACCATATAGAAATGGGATAAATGAAGATCTGTACAAGGTTTCACGTGTTACTATCCGATTATTAAAGAGGAACATCGCGGTACTATGAATGATAACTTTATTTACCAAAACTAAGAACTCCCAAATATTACAGAAACAAAAATCAGATTAAGTTTACCTCTCCAGCAAAGCTCGGCCGCTCCGGATCTAAAAGATGTGCATCCTGATCGACACGTATACGGCCTTCTGTCAGATACTCAAACCAGGTCTCAAGCACAGCAAGAGAAGCTGGCGCAAGATTGGCTTCCCAGTTTCCCTTGCTGGGTAAGTCACAATTGCTTCCTTTACCCTCCGATGAGGTCTCAAAAGTTGCCTTGTTAATAAGGACCCTTAATGCGAAATGCAAAGAAGGAGGCATGTATATATATTTATCTTTGAAAAAGTTAGACATGCCCACCATGGGTATCGATGATCTCAATATAAGAGTAGAGCACGGGCAAGTAGTAGGTCGGGGATAATTAAGCTGAGAAAGAACAAGTCGTTCGCAGGTTGAATCGTCGCGGTAAAACTCGTGTAATCGCAACATAGCGAGCAAGTAGCTGGCAAATGGACTTGTATCATGAAAATCTTCGGTATGTTTACGCAAAAATTGGTCTTCTTTCTTGTTGCCATCGTTAGAAAAGCAAGTGTATGAACGTTTTGGAGAAGACTAGACGTAGATGAGGTATTATGAGAAAGCTACTCACGCG